GCTAAAGGTAGCAGCCACAATTTAAAATTAGAACCAAGATGAAATAGTTAGAGTTGAAAAGTAGCTAAAACAGAAACAAAGCTGAAAAAAAATCATAAAATTACATAAAAGTGATTATTTGTAGAAAAAAATAACTAAAACAGTTGAAATTTTCAGTAAAACAGCTAAAATTAGCATAAAATAAGCTAAAGGTAGCAGCCACAATTTAAAATTAGAACCAAGATGAAATAGTTATAGTTGAAAAGTAGCTAACACAGAAACAAAGCTGAAAAAAACATAAAATTATATAAGTGATTATTTGAAGTAAAATAACTGAAACAGCTGAAATTTTCAGTAAAACAGCTAAAAAGTAGCTGGAAATGATTTCATTAGCATAAGAAAGAATAAGGAGCACAAGCTTGCTGAACTTAAGCTGAAAAAAGTTATAATAGCTACCAAAACTGTGTATTTAACTTGGAAAAGATAATTTTAGCTAATAGCAGCTAAACATTAGTTAAAATTTCAGCAAATAGCTGAATATAGCAGAAGGAATCTGTAACACGCATTAATAGCACAAAGTAGCAGAAAAAAGTAAAAAAAAAAGGCAGAAGAATAGCGGAAAGAAGCAGAATTTTAGCTGAAATGGCAGAAAAAAAAGCTAAAATTAGCAAAAAGTAGCTAAAATTAGCACAAGAACGTGAAAAAGAGCATAACCAGAACAAAATGTGCAAAATGCTATAAAGATTTAGAAACATTTTAAAGGATTTGAAGGATGTTGAAGATRGCCCCATTCATTTTCAATGGCAAAAAATTGAAATAGCTAAAAAGAAATTAAATATAAAAAGCTGAAATACTAAAAAAGGCTTTAAAATGTAACACCTCTTTACACACTACAAATTTAAATATGACCGGAACTCATCATGAAGTTGTTTAAAAGTACTTTTACATTCCCCATTATTAAGAGCAGTTTTATAACTTTTACATTTCTTATCATCACATCACAGTTTACCAAAGTGATTTTCTGTTAAGGTATTTTTACTTTTACTTGGTTCTTTTTTTTCTTTTTTTATCACATCACAGTTTACCAAAGTGATTTTCTGTTAAGGTATTTTTACTTTTACTTGGTTCTTTTTTTTCTTTGTTTGTTTGTTTTTTCCAAGAACTATGAATAAAAGTCTATAAASCACCAAACAAAAGTAATTTGGGAGGTAATGGAAAAGTACAGGAGAGTCTCTTTGGTGCAGAGATGCTATCTGTACTGTAAGGAACCACACTGTGTGAGTGTGTGCATTTCTTTCTTGTGCTTGTTTGTAATGGGTGGAGGTTTGAAGGGTGTGTGTGTGCGTGTAATACGAGGGGTCCCGGGCGGTGTGCCTGCAAATCCCCAACGGGACCTGACTCTCCTCTCGTCTCTTTACAATTTCCTGAAAGAATTGTGTTCTTTCTATCTGAGGAAGAGAGACCAGCCCCGTCGGGAAATGGGGCCCAGGTGACGGTGGAGGGTGGGGGGACTTATGGCACAGCTATCAAAATACAGTTATTTAATCACAGCCCAACCCTACACAAATGTTAAAATATATAAACATAAAACTTAAACCTTTAAAAAAAGAGAAGTAGACTGACCAAAGGCACGGATGAGCTCTCTCTGCACGGCCCAGGTGACGGTCTTTATAAGAGAGGCAGACGTGAGGCAAGCGAACAGCATGTTGTACAGGAACACAATGTAGAAGTTCCCCAGCCAGTTATAGCGACCAAAGTCTCCCAGTAAATCAAAGCTGGTGATTCCTAAGAAAAAGGAGGAGAAGCAGAACAAAAACTAAATGTTGCTCTTGTAAACGATCTGCTCCAGATGACCCTCAGCTGCAGTCACTCGTGCATTAATGATGGGCATCTGCACTCTTGTGGGCCTTCTTAGAACTGCAGGTCAACCCATTATTCAGCAGCTCTTCGGGTGAAATACAGAGCTAAATTTAGTACAACTGTAAAAGATATGTCCCATGAGCCAGCATGTTTTTGCTGTTGGTGAAATTTTTACAAAGTCAAAAAATAAAGAAAAGATTTTTCATCAAAAAAAAAAAAAGGTCTTGATTGTATGTTTTTAATATTCTCAAGTGCTCATATTAACTGTTGAATCAGAGCCAGTGACTCAGAAAAACTCAAACTGATACAAATAATGTTAATACTTTAAAAAGTTTGGGTTAGTGACCGCTTTAAAAAAAATGATCAAGTTGAACTCTGTCTGCACTGCTGAGAAAGCCTAATTTATTTATGGAGCACCACTTCAGCAGAACGACTGGCATGCTGGTAAGATAACCGGCTGAAACAGGGCCAGCAGCAGCAGTAGAYGCTGAACCTTCAAAATAATGTTAGCAACTTAATAATCACTTCAGTGAACTAAGAGTTAGATTACGTTATCAGCTGCATAATCTGAAGTCAGGCTTTTTAAGTTTTTTTTATTTATGTATTATAATTAATAAGTGCAGGAAGTGATTTTCAGAATGTTTGTCTACGGAAACTGAGGGAATTAGAAAAATGAATGCGACTCTGAGGTTGTTGTTTTTGTTGTTTTTCAAACTGGCACCTGATAGTGACACGTTCTTTCCCAAGTGTGTTTTCCCAGTTGGTGTGCTTTTATTGACAATATCTACTGTCCAATCTCCCCACTGAAAACAACTTAATAAGAGAAACAACTTGGAGGGTCTCCAGCCTTTTCTTCCATTGAAATTTATTTTGAAAGAGTTATAAAGTGGAAACTATGGTCCTGGATGAGCTCAGGGGGTGTGTATGTCCAAATATTCAGAGAATAAATTGAAATTTTTGGAAAAAAAGTGAAAATGCTCATAGTACCCTACACTAACTTTACTATTTAATACCATCTAATTATATTGTGCCTCATTTCCCATGGTTTTCCAAAATGGCTTTTTGAACAAAACAACAACAAAGTGACCACTTACACACACTTTTTCTGTCTAAATTACCAGCAAACTCCAAGAGAAAATGAATAATAAAATAATAAAAATCAAAATGCTACACCCTGTTAGCTAAGTAGCACGTGGTAAAACCTACTTTAAATTGGATTAGGATGGACACCTGGCTGTAAAGTCTCATAAAAATAAAAGTTACATTTGTCATTTGTTTTGTCGTCTTACCAAGTGTGCGTGAAAAGACCGGCAGCGCAGAGCTCAGGATGAGCAGAGAAACACAGTTTGCAATGATCTGAAAGAAACACACATTTAGAGAACTCTCCTAAGAACACTTCCAGTTTTAGCTGCGGGAGCAAACCGTGACATACCTGTGTGAGGTTTGTGTCTTTTACACGAGGCAGGAGGCCACAGAACAGAGACGAGCTATAGAATCCCACTACAGAGGAAACCATCAAGTAGCTGAAGTCCATATTGAGGAAACAAAGCAAATGACAGATCATAAACTATTTGGTAATTCCAATATGAAAGGGGGACAACTGCTAGATACGTCGCTGGTTTGCATTTGAAAGGATACAGAATGAGGACCACTTGAACTGCAGCACCCAGTGAGCCAAACATGGAGAAAGAGGCCATCCCCAGGTGAGGGTCCTACGACACAGAAAACACCAAAGATGAGTGCTCACTGGTGATTGGCTGCTGGCTCAGCGTGAAATGTTTGAATACAAAACTAAATCCTCACCTCCATTCCTCTGGGCATCGCCGTCTCATCCAGCAGCAGCTCCAGCACGTTGAAACACACCATCAGTACGCACATCACCTGAAGACACGAGCAGCCCTTACATTAAAGAAATACACCTCTAAATGWGAAACTAAAGCAGAGTTTATGAACGTGGTCATTATGTACCGTCARCGCAAGAAGCCCGAGCATTGCCAGCGGATAGCCCAGGTTTCGCTGCCATGGAGAGGCTTTCCTGCGCATCTCTTTTAGGGAGAAAGGGAACAACAGATGAGTGTGCAGCGACGAATGATTGTGCACCGCAGAAAGAAGGCTTCCTCAGTCCTACTYACCTAGAGCGACACGTTTGCTCCGGACYGTTTCGTACTCCTTTCTCATTGCCTCCATGTTCAGCTTGACCCAACATGATGYGCTGGTACCTTCAAATCAGACAGACAGGAAGTCGTTCAAGTTTACATTTAGGTCATGAGAGTGACAAGAAGAGGATAAGTGTGGTCACAAACTGACAGTTGAGTTTCCTGTAGAGCGAGTCCTCCTCAAACACGGTGCAGCTGAGTGTGTCCTCTACATCCTCCAGCAGCTGAATGGGACAACAAAATACAACTGATTGTATAAATACAGTCTTGCTCTTATACGGTTTTCTTTTAATTCTGGACATCCAGTCTGCRACTTACCCTCGGTTTGACCAGCAGGCTGCCTGTGACGCTGAACATTCGAGACAACCCAAACGGGGTGCACACTGGAGAGAGAGAACGCGAGTCAGTGTGTCTGAGTCAGACGGTAACGCAACTAACGATCGTCACAGACATGTACTCACGCAAAAGCAGCAGCGCTCCGAACAGCGAGATGCCCGAGTACAGGTATGGGAGGTAATACTCCCACAGGTCTGCAGGTCAAAGAAAAAGAATAGAAGCAAAAAAATAGAGGACTCGGTAATCCCATAAGGAATCTACAGGTGTCAAAGTGACTCACCATAGAGGCTCTTTCGGGCCACGTTGTCATGGAGGAGGGCTGACGCCACCCACACGATGCCCAACACCAGCAGAGCTAACAGCAGCAGCAGCACAACCGCTTCATACACTCGCGCCATCACTCCCTGCACAAAAACAGAAGGCGATCCGATCCGATTCAGTGCAGCTKTCCCCTTGTAATAATGTCTTCAAATGGCTTTTAAATCCCATAAAGTCGATGTGAAACCAGTACCTTTTTAGATCCTGCAAACCCCTCAGACTCGGTGAAGAAATAGGCAAAAGGCATGAGGAAGACCAGGGACAAATTGGAGAACAGGAAAACTAGGTTCCACAAACCTGGCGAGAAAGAGACATTTAGTTCTTTTGGATGAAACCATTCAGAACCAGACACTCAGGCAGTACCACTGTTACCCACTGTGTGGCACCACGCTGACAGACTGAGGAGAATTGACAAGATTGTGCAACAATAAATTTTAAAAAAAGCATAATGTATCTTTACATAAGAATACACTACATGCATGGTTCCTTCTGGTTTCACAATAAAAATCATCAGGACTGTGAATTTAAGTGTACTCAGCACAAAAAGTTACGAAATTTGTGTTTGGTAGATTATTTCTTTGTTGTAACAATGCTTCTTGGCAATAAATCTTATACCAGGCACTTGATTGGCAGCACCTCAGGGTACCAGAAGTTCAAAACAAGAGTCAATAGCAACAGCAAAATAAGCTGTTTGGCAGGGGAAAATTATATATATTTTTATATTTTTATGTGCTCCTTTTAATAGAGTCAGAAATATTAAAAAACAGCAACAGATGTGCTTTTTTAAAGCTCAGCTGTGCTCCTGTTAGGTCAGAGCTGTTCCATCTATAATAATTATCCGTTTGGACACAGGCCAGTGAACTATTGATGTGGAGTTCATCATCCACCCATGCACTGTGTTGATTTTTTTTAACAGTATCACTTTTAGCTGGTTGGAGCTGTCAGCTAATTAACATAAAGAAAAGAAAAAAAAGAAAACATACCATGGATAAGAGACCCATTGAGCCACTGCATGTAGTAACTGTGTGGGAAGGTGAGCAGAACCTCGTTGGACAGAATAGAGATGGGGAGAAGCAGTACTGCACACACTGCAACAGACAGGGTGAAGGTACACAGCCACAGCCTAGAAAAGAAAAAAATTAATAACAAATAAATAAACCAGTCTGTAGGATTTGTTCAGTCTAATYGGTCAGTGAAAAGATGAGAACATGAATGCCAGCGCGAAGGGACAAAGTCCAGAATGACGAAGTCAAAGGAGAACACAGACTGGGCAATAAATCCACAGGTGTCACATTGACTCGTATCTGAGAGGTCATTCAGGTCGACACTTGACTCAGTCACAGCAGATTCTGCTCACTGGTTATTTATTAAAGATTTTCACTTACGCAATTTTATTGACAGTGGCATCTTCAACATCATCTGAAAGAAACACAAAAAACTGATCACTTTTTGATCACACAATGCTGAAGAAGCTAAAGTCTCCTTGAGCTCACAAAGGGGCGTGAGCGGGGGGGACAAACATACCAGGAACATTTTGTTCATGCAGGATTAAGATTCCAGTTCAGTCAAATACACAAAAAGATTGAAGATACAAAGAACAGGTCAATATCATGCAACATCCTGAACAAAATATGCATCAAAAACCAAGAAAGTGCTCATTTTAGATAAGAATGTGATACTGTCGCAGCTTCCTCTGCAGGTGTTCTCACAGCTGGGTAATTACAAAGCAACGCCTCAGGAGGACAAACCAGTTCTTGGTAACTGACAAGTCACAAACAACGGCATGCTGAAGAATTGCACAACTGTCATTTAGCTGCAGGGCAGAACAGCCCTCATGTTTGCTGATGCACAGATTTCAATAAATGTGAGTTTACACTTGGTGTGATTCCAAAACCCCACATAATAATCCAGGCCCCAGCCACAGCGGAGCAGAAAGATGACCACTCAAACGCCCCACATCTGCTTCCAGTAGAGCTAATAGGATCCAATCTGCATTAGATCAGTCCACTCACACAACATGGATTTACACTCCTTTTTTAAGTTTAATTAAAACCATCTGAAGCATCCAAGTGCACCATGTTTTGCTTGTGGGCTGAAGTTCTAATAATTTTTAAACACGGTTCCTGTTATGAAAAACAACAGTTGCAAAGTTACATAATTGTACTTCTACGTGCCCGTGACACTGCTTGTTTCAGGGGAGTTTTGTGGAAATCATATAAGCAGTATCTTACCTGCTGTAGATAGCAATGTAAATAACCTCAGTTTGGAGAAATAAAGATTTGTTCTGACATTTTTTGACTAGTTAACAGCCAAGACCAAAGTGAATTGCAGTTATTTTATTCTTAAAAGTTTGTAGCAGTTCACATGAAATATAAACTATAAATTTTTCATTGCAAAATTAAAGAGCAACAGCTAGCTAACTGTAGCACTGGCTGTGTTGTTGCAGTTGCTCCTGCGCACTTTTAGCTTATAATTTTTCTTTTAGCTGTTCCTTTTTTTGGGGGTCGCCACAGCAAGCAAACTAATACAAAAGATGTGGCATTTGTTTTACGCCAAAWGCCTTTCCTGATGCAGCCTGGGCTCAAACCTGCAGTGTCAGAATAATAAGACTGAGGCCCTGACTACCGAGCTACTGTGGTCCCTGCAGCCTGAGGCACGTCCCGCAGGAATAATATGATGCAGTATTTCTGTTATATGAAGAAACGTACATGTACAGTCAAATTTAAAGTGAAATAAAAGGTTTAAAATTTGTTTTTGCATAAGCTACTTTGACATTATTTGAGATTAGATTAGTTTAATGAGGGCAGCAGTTCACCCCTTTCTTAGCCATTGGCTTAGTCAATCTGTTTTTGCAAACAGAGGTTGTTTAAACACCTACAACATAGGGTATTAATTATTTATAATGTTTCTACAAACCTATTTAGAAAAAAAACAGAACTATTTCAACAGTCTCTGTTGTTTATCTTTTAAACAGCCCCGCCCCCCCAGCATGCTAATCCACAGATGTGCTGCTTGAAGAGGTGGCTGCACATAAAAACATTTCCCTTTTTTTTTCTGAACATTTCTAGCCAAGATCCAAGAGACCTCAGCGAAAGAAATACTTCCTGGCAAACGTGCAAAATTTTCTCAAAAATATGAATGAAAAGAAATACTGCAAAGTAAAGAAAATAGAGACTTTTAACTCAGAACAGAACAGGGAGTTCCTGGTTGGAACCAGTACTGCGGACACACTCGGCGGAAAGAAATTCCAACGCTTTAACGCAGCCTGTATGCTAGTCAACATTGTTGGTTGTTCCCTTGAGGCAATTTTCTGAAAGCCTTTGAGAGCTTCTTCGTTGAGGGACTCGGAGTTTCTGCAAACTCACCTGTGACAAACTCAGCAGCCTTCTTGAAGTGGGTGAGAATGAGGTAGCACACCATGTAGAGACAGGTGAACAGGAGCACGCAGATCTGCAGAAGAGACATTTGTCTTAGCTGCATGCAATCAGTCATGTTTCATTTGTTCATACAGTGGACATAAAAAAGTTGTAGTTTATTTCTTTTTTAAAACAAAGGGAGAGTGAAGACAAAAAAGGCAGGGCTGAAAAAGCTAAAAACACTGACTACTTGGCCTCGGAGAATGAGACAGATGGATGTCAAAGATTACCTCTTAATGTCAACAAAGAAATTGAGGTCACACTATTAAAAACAAGGGGATAGTGTCTTCTTTCTGTGACAAATTAAGGGGTGTCAAACACAGACAGCTTAATCTGAGTGAGCTCTGGCACCAGACTACAAAAGGCAGATATATGAATGTAAATTGAGGTTAATCCAACATTTAGCCAGCGATCTGTTGTCTGACAACTAAATCTTTCRTCCAACAGCTAAATTAGACGTTTTMAATACGCCTCGACTTTTCCCAGATTAACTGCCTCGCAGTAAATTTTATGTCACCTGTGTACCAACGTGTTAGGCAGAATGTAGCAACGTCATGAGTGATGAGTCAATAAAAAAAAACATTTCTGCATACAGATCTCACAGGAGTCCGGCATGCACAGCAGGAACAAATCGCTGGTCCCCAAGGTAACAACAGCAACAAACAAAGACTCGTTCTCTGAAGAAACAAATAAATTAATCCTGGAAATGTGCTAAAATAAAAGTAGCTTTAGACATTTTGTTAYCGAGTCCTTTGCATGAAACTCCCTCACCAAAAAAAAAGTGCTAACAATGCAAATGTGTTGAAATTAAATTAATACTCAACTAAATGAACAATACCTACACTTAAATCAATTTTTGCACATCAGTGTTTTAATAAAACACCACTATTCAACTAAATTGCTCGCTTTTTTCAATTAAAGAACTCATTGGTGGGTCTGATGTGGCCCACAGGCCACCAGATGAATAGCCTTGCCATAAACCCTAGTTTTACTTTATCGCTTCTTTGACAACCAAAATGTCGTTGGTTACAAACATTTGACCCAAACATAAACTGAAACCTTAAACAAAACTGCATTTAGTTTGTTAAAGCAACATTTAGAAAGAAATGTAAATGAAGGAAACACCTATTTATTGACCTCTTTAGAGTATGCACATGCATAAAATTAGGAACAATGCCCCAAATAGATTTATAGTTAATAGCTGGGTTTCAGTCAGGTGGTTTCGAAGGCGGAGTGACCTCCGCTCCGCTGGAGGGCAGGGGGTAAAATGTCTATGGGGGAAACTAYTGTAGAGAGTTTATATTGTATGGATTTAGGTCCTATTTCAAGATATATAACAACAATTTGTTCACAAATATGTCAGCCATGACTCATATGATGAAGATGAATGAGTATTCTACTGAACCTAAAGATTTGCTGAGGCTGTCGGTACCACACACGTTTTACATCACCAGGTGACAAATAATAAGCAAAAGTTTATCTGAATAACTCCACACGATTCTGCCCAACCCTATGACAACATATGATAACACTGATTATCATACAAAGATGAAAAATGTAGAAAGCTCACAGAAAGACAACRTAAAAAGTGGACTTTAAACCRTCTGCRGTTGGGAGGAGCAGGATGCTGGTGCCTGCAGCCATCACTTCATTCAGAGGTATGTTAGCTGCTAACTTGTTTTAGAAGTTATGTTTATAATGATCGTTTATTTAGTAGTGAGTATTAAGTTACTGGTAGTTTAGTGTGGACCTCATCTGGACTTTTTAGCATTCTGTGTCGTTAGGTGCTGGATGTTTGTTGACGTTAGCGGCTACTGCTAGCATGATCTTAACATAAAATCAGAACAAACACTCACCCTGGCAAAAAACAAACGATAATCGTCGTGGAGCTGTTTAGTACAGAGGTTGTGGATCCACCCGCGGAATAAAAAGTTCTACAACTCCAGTTGTTTACGGGCTTTCATCAGCTGTTCGGTGTAGTTAGCACTGAGTTAGCGCCGCACTGTCTGCCCCGGCAGACTGGTAACAGGACCGAAGATTTCCCCCGTAGAGTCCGCTCGGTGCTCGATCTTCTTCTTGTGCCTCTTATAATCGAAATAATGAATCATCTACTTCCTCGTCAAAGTCCTCAGACTGCTTTTCCTCCATCTGCCTTGAGCTCTTCTCTCTGCAAAGGTTCTGTGTGCGGCTTGGTCCACCTGTCCGCAGCTGGAGCTCCACGTTTTTTTGCATCAAAGACACTAAAAATAACTAACTAAACTTCACTCTAACTATGAAATATAGTTGTACAAATATAGGAAATTTAATTTCAGATATCTCACTTCCTTTCTCACTGTCTCTCCATCGTTGCCGAACTTTATTCAACTTCGGCCTCTTTTTATTTTCATCTTCCTGTAGATTTTTTGCCGCTTGTCTAATATTTTCAGGCTTCAGTCAGAAAGGAGTTTGGGGGGGGGTCATGTTAGTTCGGTGGGGTGGGGGTGACACCAAATAGTGGATTGAGGTGTTTTCCCCCATGAATCAGCCCTCTTTTGCAACCTCCTGCTGCAACGTGCTTCAAATATGGCGAACATTAATAAAAAGACCTATAATTTTATTTCATTTATTATATAATTTAATCAGTGTATAATTATTATTAATTTGTTTAGAATGATTGGAGCACTCGTAAACTGCACAAGATATGGGCATTTTTTCAGATAGCAGATCCTCCACATTTTCACTTCCTGCCCTCCAGCCGAACTTCGCGCTCTCGTGGCACTGCATCGTGACGTCACGTGAAACCCTCCTATTCCAGTAGTCAAAGCCAAAGTTCAACTATTATTTTTAACCTTTACACCTGCTTTTCTATTAACCTTTGAATACAATCATACTTATTTGTTCTATTGGTAATTTACATTGTGTTAGAAAATACAGTATCCTCAACATGTGATGTTGTTAGATGTTGAAGTGGCTGCAGACAGAGCACAGCTGAAATTTACACAAGATAAGAATGCTGTTTAGACTATGTGATTTCAACAAACCAGACGTAGACATGAATATATCTAGACCACAATGCATTGCAAAATAGTAAMACTGCACAACATTAACTGTAAAAAGGTAATAAAAAAAGCATTGACTGTTCAAATTGGAATGATGAGCTGCAACAAAGGTTTGCATGCAACAACTAATCAGCTCAGTCTGCAAAATTGTTCAGTGCTGAGGTCAAATTTGGCAACAGGCTTTCCAGTGGCTAATCCAACAACAAGGAAAAGAAGGGAACAAAGGATTGGGAGAGAAATGAGCGAAAGGCCAGAATAACACCACGTTTATGTGAACAGACGTTTAATTTCAGTGTAGAGAGCTTGCAGCACCAAACAGGCCACAGAGAGAAGGTTTCCAATCTGCTTTACAAGAATAGCTACGCAACTTGTCTGTTTTGTGCAAGAGTACCACATCAGTTCCCTCCAAAGAAATGTTACCAAAAGTTGACATTTTCTCATCGCTTTCGCAAAGTAACCTGAAATCTTCAAGTGTCCCGACGCAGTGCCTCATGTCTCCGCTACAACACCTTTAATTCAGTTGGAACATAATCCGTCCTGACCCCTCCAGGCGCAGGGTGTGAACTCTATACACTGCACTGTTTACATCATATTATGCAGGTTTTTCGTGTTATTTATGCATAAATTTACCAGATGCTCTTAGCAAATTGACAATGTGAAGACAGACATCTGGCAGCAATGAAAAATATCCTAGCAGATTTTTTTCCTGCTCCTTATGCAACTCAGCTCAGCTGTTTCTCAAAAACAGCAATAAGAATCATGTCAAAACCACATAATTCCAGAATTTGAAATAAAAATCACATCTGAGTCCACTTTTTTAAATGGAAAAACTGTTCAATAAAAGAAGAAAAGAGAAAGAGAAAACACTGATGGCGCACGTCACACTTTGAATGTAATGTCGTGAGTTCTTTCATCCTGACTTTCTCACAGTGCTAACAGAACGTGTGGTTTTTCCGTTGCCTTTTGTTTGCTGTGGATGTGATTTTCTCTCCTTTTGTACTTCACCTGACGCATGTGACAGATCTGACAAATGAACAAAGCAGTCATTTGCTTGTAAGTAGGTTGAGCTCGTGCTTTTCATTGCTGGGGGTGAAGCTGCGGACACCTGGAATTTAAAACACGTTTTGTTTCAAAGCAAGATGACGTTTAAGGTGGTGTCACTCATTCATATCACTGAGCTTCATTTAGTGGAAATGCTCAGAGGAATGCGTCGGGGAGAATCACTTTTTAAAATCAAACCCCATTTTATTCATTTGTGAAATTCAAACAAACATCAAATGATAACATTTTTCCTACAAACACACTGTTTCTTTTCCAAAACTATTGTTTTTGAGTGCCTGTTTACACATTTTCGGCTCTTCTCTCAAAAAAACTAGAATGTAAAAAAGTTTGGAGTAGGGTTGGACAATACTGGCAAAAAAATTAATCACGATTAATTGTGGTATTTAGCCGATAACGATTAATTTGATGATTAATCCCCTGGA